ATTAGTCCTGACTAGAACCAGGAAGTACGACCACATTAGTCCTGACTAGAACCAGGAAGTACGACCACATTAGTCCTGACTAGAACCAGGAAGTACGACCACATTAGTCCTGACTAGAACCAGGAAGTACGACCACATTAGTCCTGACTAGAACCAGGAAGTACGACCACATTAGTCCTGACTAGAACCAGGAAGTACGACCACATTAGTCCTGACTAGAACCAGGAAGTACGACCACATTAGTCCTGACTAGAACCAGGAAGTACGACCACATTAGTCCTGACTAGAACCAGGAAGTACGACCACATTAGTCCTGACTAGAACCAGGAAGTACGACCACATTAGTCCTGACTAGAACCAGGAAGTACGACCACATTAGTCCTGACTAGAACCAGGAAGTACGACCACATTAGTCCTGACTAGAACCAGGAAGTACGACCACATTAGTCCTGACTAGAACCAGGAAGTACGACCACATTAGTCCTGACTAGAACCAGGAAGTACGACCACATTAGTCCTGACTAGAACCAGGAAGTACGACCACATTAGTCCTGACTAGAACCAGGAAGTACGACCACATTAGTCCTGACTAGAACCAGGAAGTACGACCACATTAGTCCTGACTAGAACCAGGAAGTACGACCACATTAGTCCTGACTAGAACCAGGAAGTACGACCACATTAGTCCTGACTAGAACCAGGAAGTACGACCACATTAGTCCTGACTAGAACCAGGAAGTACGACCACATTAGTCCTGACTAGAACCAGGAAGTACGACCACATTAGTCCTGACTAGAACCAGGAAGTACGACCACATTAGTCCTGACTAGAACCAGGAAGTACGACCACATTAGTCCTGACTAGAACCAGGAAGTACGACCACATTAGTCCTGACTAGAACCAGGAAGTACGACCACATTAGTCCTGACTAGAACCAGGAAGTACGACCACATTAGTCCTGACTAGAACCAGGAAGTACGACCACATTAGTCCTGACTAGAACCAGGAAGTACGACCACATTAGTCCTGACTAGAACCAGGAAGTACGACCACATTAGTCCTGACTAGAACCAGGAAGTACGACCACATTAGTCCTGACTAGAACCAGGAAGTACGACCACATTAGTCCTGACTAGAACCAGGAAGTACGACCACATTAGTCCTGACTAGAACCAGGAAGTACGACCACATTAGTCCTGACTAGAACCAGGAAGTACGACCACATTAGTCCTGACTAGAACCAGGAAGTACGACCACATTAGTCCTGACTAGAACCAGGAAGTACGACCACATTAGTCCTGACTAGAACCAGGAAGTACGACCACATTAGTCCTGACTAGAACCAGGAAGTACGACCACATTAGTCCTGACTAGAACCAGGAAGTACGACCACATTAGTCCTGACTAGAACCAGGAAGTACGACCACATTAGTCCTGACTAGAACCAGGAAGTACGACCACATTAGTCCTGACTAGAACCAGGAAGTACGACCACATTAGTCCTGACTAGAACCAGGAAGTACGACCACATTAGTCCTGACTAGAACCAGGAAGTACGACCACATTAGTCCTGACTAGAACCAGGAAGTACGACCACATTAGTCCTGACTAGAACCAGGAAGTACGACCACATTAGTCCTGACTAGAACCAGGAAGTACGACCACATTAGTCCTGACTAGAACCAGGAAGTACGACCACATTAGTCCTGACTAGAACCAGGAAGTACGACCACATTAGTCCTGACTAGAACCAGGAAGTACGACCACATATTAGTCCTGACTAGAACCAGGAAGTACGACCACATTAGTCCTGACTAGAACCAGGAAGTACGACCACATTAGTCCTGACTAGAACCAGGAAGTACGACCACATTAGTCCTGACTAGAACCAGGAAGTACGACCACATTAGTCCTGACTAGAACCAGGAAGTACGACCACATTAGTCCTGACTAGAACCAGGAAGTACGACCACATTAGTCCTGACTAGAACCAGGAAGTACGACCACATTAGTCCTGACTAGAACCAGGAAGTACGACCACATTAGTCCTGACTAGAACCAGGAAGTACGACCACATTAGTCCTGACTAGAACCAGGAAGTACGACCACATTAGTCCTGACTAGAACCAGGAAGTACGACCACATTAGTCCTGACTAGAACCAGGAAGTACGACCACATTAGTCCTGACTAGAACCAGGAAGTACGACCACATTAGTCCTGACTAGAACCAGGAAGTACGACCACATTAGTCCTGACTAGAACCAGGAAGTACGACCACATTAGTCCTGACTAGAACCAGGAAGTACGACCACATTAGTCCTGACTAGAACCAGGAAGTACGACCACATTAGTCCTGACTAGAACCAGGAAGTACGACCACATTAGTCCTGACTAGAACCAGGAAGTACGACCACATTAGTCCTGACTAGAACCAGGAAGTACGACCACATTAGTCCTGACTAGAACCAGGAAGTACGACCACATTAGTCCTGACTAGAACCAGGAAGTACGACCACATTAGTCCTGACTAGAACCAGGAAGTACGACCACATTAGTCCTGACTAGAACCAGGAAGTACGACCACATTAGTCCTGACTAGAACCAGGAAGTACGACCACATTAGTCCTGACTAGAACCAGGAAGTACGACCACATTAGTCCTGACTAGAACCAGGAAGTACGACCACATTAGTCCTGACTAGAACCAGGAAGTACGACCACATTAGTCCTGACTAGAACCAGGAAGTACGACCACATTAGTCCTGACTAGAACCAGGAAGTACGACCACATTAGTCCTGACTAGAACCAGGAAGTACGACCACATTAGTCCTGACTAGAACCAGGAAGTACGACCACATTAGTCCTGACTAGAACCAGGAAGTACGACCACATTAGTCCTGACTAGAACCAGGAAGTACGACCACATTAGTCCTGACTAGAACCAGGAAGTACGACACATTAGTCCTGACTAGAACCAGGAAGTACGACCACATTAGTCCTGACTAGAACCAGGAAGTACGACCACATTAGTCCTGACTAGAACCAGGAAGTACGACCACATTAGTCCTGACTAGAACCAGGAAGTACGACCACATTAGTCCCTGACTAGAACCAGGAAGTACGACCACATTAGTCCTGACTAGAACCAGGAAGTACGATCACATTAGTCCTGACTAGAACCAGGAAGTACGACCACATTAGTCCTGACTAGAACCAGGAAGTACGACATCACATTAGTCCTGACTAGAACCAGGAAGTACGACCACATTAGTCCTGACTAGAACCAGGAAGTACGACCACATAGTCCTGACTAGAACCAGGAAGTACGACCACATTAGTCCTGACTAGAACCAGGAAGTACGACCACATTA